TTAAACTGAAGTGACACACTAACTCACAGTCCAACATTGTAAGTGGGTTCTGCAATTCACGGACTACCTTGAAACTACTTCGTAACACATCAGTAAGCAATAAAAACGCATTGTTGTTTAAAACAAAGCGAATCAAATATATAATGAGTATAATATAACGCGAAAAATTCAAGAAAACCAATATTAATAAAAAGAAACACCTCCCGTTTTCGTGAAATGCTTCAATTAGGGTAACTTATTGTATTTCCATAGTGATCTTTGCTCGTGCAGTGTGAAAACAGCGAAGGCTTAGTCCCTGAGCTACCACGGCTCTACTCAATAAATGTATATGTATTTATAAATACTGATAAGATAAAACTAAAACTAATATTCATGGTCGTAAAATAAATTCTTACTGGATATCAAACATTACATTCGAAATATAAACACTATTTCGCTTAATGAGCTTAAACAAATCAGAAATTACTTCGCAATTAGAATAAGCTAATAATATATTATTATAATAATTATATATTTGAATGCTAAGTTAATATTAAAAGAATAAACTAAAACATCACAGACATTAACAACCTCATCCTTAACAATCGCAACCTTTACTTTAAGTCCATAACCGCTGCAAACCAGCTCACGTTCCTGGAATACTGACTCACGTGCGTCGCGACGTCTCCCCCTCCCCCTCCCGCCCTCTGTCCCATCGCCCCTTCAGTCTGGCTCCCCTTGTGACAATGACACGACGCTAACCGACGCTTATGTCGGCCGTGACTCAGACATCGTTATGCAATTCTTCGTTTGATGAAGCTTTAGTAGTTATATTGAAGTAGGGTGCATCCTCATTATTTCTCGTAACACCGTATTGTCTCGCTTCAATGTTGTTCTTATATAACAGTAAAAAATTAAAGAACTAAGCGCTTGCTGCAAATTTCACAGTATGCGGGTTTGATCCCACCGGTAATATTAAAATTAATATTTTCAATTTTAGAAATTGTTATTTTCAATTTTACGTGGTAGAGCCATGCTGTAGCTATATTATAGTTGTAGCAAGAATAGGTCGGCTGGACCGGGGAAAGACCAGCCTCTTACAGAATACCTGCATAAAATAGCAGCTCAATGCTACTGTGTTTCGTATGATGAGTGTAGAGAACCGGAGATCCTTTTAACTGGAAACCAGGCATTCCATCTTTGTCTTCAGGGGTGACAATGCATGTACATTTTGATTCTTAATCCAGGATAACTGTAGATATCTAAGGGGCATATTCGTATCATCCACTTATCGTCGGGTAGACTATACTGTGTGTTCATTTGTCACCCTAATTCTATAAAAATATAATAGAATAAGAACTAATGACATGTACTTGGCGTTGAAAGGATACCTCGTGGAAAAACTTGCATATCTGAGTCTGAGTTGAGTGAGAGTAAAATACAAATTCGAAGTCCGCCAACACGGAACAACGCATCGGACTTATTGCTCACTAACAATGGGAGGAGCCTTTAACAACGAGAAACGTGACGAGAGACAATATGAGAGATTTATGAAGTTATGTAATAGAATTTCTTCTGTGGCCTCGGTTCCTATCTGACAGGATTATAGAGAATCTTCAATTTAGGTCTACCATAAATGTGTTTCGACTTCTAGTCCCGAGTAGAATTTCTACTCCAAGTGCACATTCATAACATGGGACTCTGTAACCAATGAACGTCAAAAAGCCTATCCAACGACGATCCATTAACAGCATTAACATCAGCGAATCAAATTATATTTTTATTTTGTTTAATACTTTCGTTCGTATACGAAAATTAAATAAGAAAATGAAAATCATGAGTCATAAAGAAATTAAATAGGTTACTGAAATAAAATTTCTCTGCCTTTATCTTGGATCAGCACTGTAGTTGAAAAAATCACATAAGTTTATGATGTGTTTGATGTGTTAAATAATTTTTATACACTTAGAAGGCTTAGTTTTTTTTACTTATTATAAGCCAGTGCTTGAGCACAATCCCACCTGGTAGTAAGTGGTGATGCAGCCTTAGATGGTAAATCGCACTGTCTTATCGTAACAAAAGCCTATTCACTCTTGCTTTGAAGACGCGCAGGTTGTATTCGGACGTAAAGATAGACGCCGGAAAATTATTCCACTCCTTTGCTGTACGCATTACAAAAGACGAAGCAAACCGTTTGGTTCTAATGCGTGGAATATCAACAGCAAAGGGATGAAGACCCGCCGACCGCCAGCAAAGGAGAGGGAGTGTAATTCCTGCGCACACTCACCAAAATGCATCCTATAGAATACCGAGAGACTGGCTACTCTGCGCCTGTGGTCGAGGCTGACAAGATTGGTTTCAACCAAATCAAGGTCACCAATGAGCACGTCTAGTAATTAAATTGCTTATCATGGATATGTAGGGTCCAGGTTACGGCATGTGCTTTTGATCTGGGGCAATTCAACGATTTTTCAGAGAGCATTTCTAAACCAAAGAAAATGAATAAGGGCGAGGTTCAGTGGATGTGGAACTTTCGATTCTTGTAAGCCACTGTTCAAACAGTTAAAAATTATGACACTGTGAACGCATATACGCGTTTTAAAATGGGAACGTTTATAAAATATCCTCATTTATTTCAGAGATGAATTGATAATACAGATAAAAGATTTCCATAGAGAGACGTAACAAGATTAAATTTTAGAAATTGTAAAACTCCGTTTTTCAGAAGAATTATCTCATTGTGTCTTAAAAAGTATATAATAAAATTATAAGTGAATTCGAGAACTTCCCTTGAAACATTTAAGAAAAAATTTGAGCAACGGCATCAACCAAAATTGTTTTTATAATCTAGATAATTTTTATAGTTATAAACCAAAATGATAGGTAAGTTTATTTACATTTTATAAAATTTTGCTATATTTATTATTATGTTATTATGCTTTTGCCACTAGTTTGAAAAAAAAATTCTGTCCTGGGAAGAACCAGCAAGAAAACCAGCGGTACTCTTTTTTTAAACATTAATTTACAATACAATATGTTATATAGTTAATTATAAAATTATAATTATAAAGTTATAATTATAAAATGATTTAAAAACTGCATCGTCTCATTCTGGGAATCAGGCACGTTTCTAAATGATATTGTGTGACATATTCACACAACGTTTCTAAATGAATGACATTTGTGATTGTGTTTTTATTAATTAGGGTTATTATTAATGTAATTAAAATAAGTACAATCACAAATGTATTTGATTTTCCCTCATGTCTCTGGATGTACACGCTTGTAAGCTAATTACTAAGATCTTTTTACAATATTAATATTTTTCTACAATACCCTGATTACTTTTATCAGCCCTCGAAAGTCTGCCGTTGGACATATGCCTCTCCCTTTTAAAATTCTAGGCAGTACGAGTCCTAAGAGGAAATAAGGGAGGATTATTCTGTACTAATTTGTAGACATTTGACTAAATCTTCAAGCTTGGCAGACGGATTGACGATCGCAGGGACAGAAGTATTTGCGATAAAGATTAAAGATATTTAACGTCTGGTGTAAATGATGGTTGTACTGTTATATATCAGATTCCGTAAAATATTTCCGGTTTTTCTATAGTCGCCTCCTACGACATTCACGAGACGAAATGGGGTGATATGTTTTCCTTTTTTTTTATCGTGGGGAAATCCTCATGGATACCTTCTGCTGCGGGGCAACAGAAAGGTTATGCCGGACTCTTACCGGCCAATACCCCACGGTGGTCTCCATCAGCGTATATGAGGGGTCCCGGGATCTCCGTCCGGAACGCAACCGGGACCCCTCTCTCGCTTTGCTCTATTAAAGCACGTCCCGGGGGCAGTCTTTACTACCCCCAGCACCCTCGCAATGCTACCACGGTGCTCGAGACCACTTTCGAGTCACCGTCCTCCTCAGGTGTTACATCACTAGACGCTCGGGGCCCCCGTCCCGAACGCTCGTAACCCCCGAGGCCCCGTTTCTGGTAGGGGGACACCATCATCAAGGGGAGGGCCGTGACGAATGCCTTGACGGGGTCGTCTCCGAGCGGGATTTGTTCTCTCCCGACACCGCTCAGCAGCCTTCTTCTGGACCATAACGGATTCACAAAAGGCGACTACGGGCCTCCACGCGGAGTCCCTGCTCAGCATCGCCGACACGACTGCTGGCAGGGGGAGGTTTTGACCGATCCGGCTTACCAGGATCGTCCGCTCCCGTTCCCACGATGGGCATGTTGCCAGCGTATGGGATGCTGAGTCATGTTCCTGCCCACCGCAGTGGAAACAGTTCGCCGTCGCTTCGCGTCCAATCTTACACAAATAATCACCGAAGCACCCGTGCCCGGTCATTATCTGTGTAAGTCTGTAGGTGAGTCTTCCTGTTCTTCGATGCGTCCAGGCTTCAAAGTGCGGCAGGATTGCTTCAACAACGCGTTTGCGGGCATAACGCTCGTCAGATAGGCGGGCGCGCCACGTTACGAACGCGTTAAGTCGTTCCTGCCGCTTGACTCCTTCGAACACCTCATCTGGCTCACTCCCGATGCTCTGGCGGAGGACTCGCGTCCGGTCGTACACCCTAGCATCCATGTCCGCCAGTATGTCCAGAGGTGGAAAGCGAGCCAGGACTGTCGCCGCCTCAAAGGATGTCGTGCGGTATCCTCGCACGATCCGTATGGCCATCTTCCGCTGCACCCTGTAGATTTTAGCTCTACAGCGTTGGATGGCCAGCCTTTTTGTCCAAACAGGCGACCCGTACAAGGCTACGGACCGTATCACTCCTGTATAGAGGCGACGCATTTCTTCCCTCGGTCCCCCTAGATTGGGCAGCAGTCTATGCATAGCACCAGCTACTCTTTCAATTCGGGGGACAAGGCGCTCGAAGTGTTCTTCGAAGCCCCATCGACTGTCCAAGTGGAGGCCTAGGTACTTCTTGTACCGCCCCACTCGGACTTCAGACCCACCTACGCGGACGTACGAATCGGGTGGTTCCCTGCCGCGTCGTAGTTTATGGAACTATAGCGCCTCGGTCTTGTGAGGCGCTATTTCTAATCCCAACTCGTGGATTTTAGCGACGACGACTTCCGCCCTAAACTCGGCGAGCTCTTTGACCCTCTCGAAGGTGACCCCGCTGGCAACCACCAACGTGTCGTCGGCATAGCAGACGATATCTACACCAGCGGGAAGTTCAACTCGCAGAACCGCATCATAGGCGAGGTTCCACAGTAGCGGCCGTAGCACCGATCCCTGTGGAACCCCACGTCTGATCTCCCTCCGGATCTTTCTACCGTTTTGCCCCATGTACAGAATATACCTGTCACGCAAGTAGTCCCCGATAACATTTTTCAGGTAGGGGGGCACCTGATGGTGTGCCAGTGCACTCCTGATTGCGCCTAAGGGTAGATAATTAAAGGCATAGACGATATCGAGACTTATCGCCAACGCCACACCACCCTGGGATACTGCTTGTTCCGACAGAGAGCGGACGCGCATGATGGCATCTACTGGAGAACGCTCCCGTCGGAATACAAACTGGCCATCACCCAAATCGGAACCAACGCGCGACAGATACCCGTTGAGCCGTATGGCAACTATTCTTTAGAACAATTTGCCAATCTCGTCCAAGAGGCATATGGGACAGTACGCAGAGGGAGAATCGGCGGCCCTGCCTTCCTTCTTCAAGAGGAACTACCTTGATTCTTTCCATGCGGTGGGGAACTTGGCACTTTTCAGACAGTCAGTAAAAATCTGCCTAAGCCCCCAGGGTAGCCAGACTCAGCAGCTGACCAGGGCTGGACCCGGGATACCGTCGGGTCCCGGTGCAGTGTTCCGGGCTCTTAAGCGGCTAACGGCTCGGTCCAGCTCCTTCACGGTTACTGCTATCTCATCTTGCCACGTCCATGATGATGGCGGGTAGTGATATGTTCTCCTACTCCATCACCACGGCAAACAACAACAACTTATAAATATAATCCTAATATAATCTTAAATGTTTTTTAAATTAAAACTACCTCAAAACTACCATTAAACAATTTCAATCTGAATGGTCAGTGATTCATAATATGAATAATTAAGAACAGAATAAACTAAGTTTTTATAGAGAGCTTAGAGGAGCCTTATAGAGACTTAAATTCGGCTTTGTTTTCATTGTATACAATTTAACTACGTTTATAATCCCAAAAGTAGCAGTTCTTCATCTATTTCTCTAACATTCCATGCGTCAGAGCCTAAGACAAAACGCCAAGTTTGCTTATCTGTCAAATATTTATAGAACAAACACAGACATAAAGTCGTATAGATTTGCGAAGTAGCTAGAACTGAAATCTCTCCCTTCTGTCTTATCTGCCGGCTTCCAAAAAGGAGACGGTACTCAATTCGACTGCATGTTTTTTTTATGTGTGTTACCTCATAAGTTTGTACTGGGCGAACCGATTTCGATGTTTTTTTTTTATATGAAAGCTGATAGTACTCGTATGGTCCCATATGAATTTGATCAAGGTCAGACCAATGGTTATTGAGTTATTCTTAAATAACCTCTATTGAAGTCCCTTATATTGAAGTCGGCTGTACAAAATTTTTAATTTTAAATTATTATTTATAATATTCAAATAGGTAATAAGTAATTAAAAATTAAAAAATTTTGTACAACCGACTTCAATATAAATTATTCAGAATAACTCAAAAACTATTGATCAGACCTTGATCGATTGATGAATTTATATGGGACCACATGTGAAGTACCAGCTTTCAAATAAAAAAAGAATCATCGAAATCGGTTCACCCAGTAATAAGTTATAAGGTAACACACATTAAAAAAAAACATACAGTCGAATTGAGTACCAGCTCCTTTTTGAAGTCGGTAGAAAATACTAGTAACGCTATCAACATTACTAATTATTCCATTAACCACTCCATATAAGCTTAAAACACTTGTGTTATTGTGGTAGAGGAATGTGGTAGTGGTATGAACCACTCGTCCACGATAAAAGTCAAATGGCGGTTTCAAACCTAAAACTTTTGGAGTTTGCAATGCGCATAATTTACAATTAGGCTACTATAGCGCTTAAGTTAATGAGTAGATCGCTAGATGAAAAATTTCTTCCTTTATAAGGTCATAATATTTTATAATGATCTTCTTTCTCACAAGCCCGTAAAAGGACAGCTATACTTCTTTCGGCATAACTTATATTCCGTTGCAGCTTATCAAAAGTCCAAAGTCATACTGAACATAGGCTTCCCCATAGATTACAACTAATCCCCCTCCCCCCATGTTTGTCTATTAACAAATAATTATAAAATTAAAGTTAAATAATCAATATTATTTTGCTAAGTACGATAATTTGCTAACAACTCTAGAGTTTCTATACAAATTGCATCAAATATAGATGTAAATATTAATTATTATGTAAGCATTGTTATGTTATTGTGTTATTATAATGAGTGGGCTCAAGAATTCGCTTGAGCTATATGACACGAATTTGTATCAGCGGTTTTATACCTAGCGAAATAATTCAATAGTTTGCGATTAATTATTTCGTAATAACCGTTGATCGACTTAATACAAAAATATGGATGTAACACTTTTGAATTAAAAAAAAAACATTTTTTATTGAATAAGGATGACAATTGAGCACAAAGTTCAACTAATGGCAAATGGATAGCGTAACCCATAGACATCTGCATCTACCCTCGATTAAAAATCAAAATACAGTTACCTTTTCTCCCCCTAAATACTAAGATGGAATGTCTCGTTTCGAGTAAAAAGAGTCTCGTTCTCTACACTCACGAAACACAGCAGCATTAAGCTGTTATTTTACCGATATTCTGTGATAATCGGTGGAGCCGATCCATTCTTGCTACAACTATACTACTAATATAGCTGCAGCGTGGCTCTACCACGTATCAAATCTCATTAGGGTCAGACTTTAAATAAATACACCGGCGAATGTCAGCAGCGTCAAAGATGTGTGACTTATGGTACTGGAATTGTCAAATCAATCCGCCAAGCGAGACGATTAAGGCAAATTCTCCCTATAACAGGAGAGGCTCATGTCTGCCTGTGAACTTTATCGAGCCGATAAAAAAGAAAGAACAAAGAAAAGAAAAGTTTTCAAGGTGAGAACATCACTACTTGGTAGAACTCCTTTTCTGCTTGTCTTGCGTCTGGGTAAGTACCACCCTCCTACCGTTTTCTGCCATCAAAAAGTAGAGTGTGCTTTGCAGTGTAAGATCTGAACACTGAAGAGCCAGTATCATTGCAGGCCATGAGGCATTACAATTTTTCAGAGGTGACAGCGCATCTGTAGCTTACTTTTTTTATTTTAGGTGTCCAAGAAACATAATAGCCACTTACCATCAGGTGGATTTAAATATTGTTTGTCATTTTAGTTTTATAAAAGAAACTTTAACACGTACATATAATGTGTATAATTGTACGTTCAAAGATTTGTAACAAAACATTTCCTTTCTTATTGTTCTTAACTTTTGCAACGATTTTTAGTTATTTTCTTGATTTATTAAAATAGACCACACACAGATTTATATAAATTAATAAATTACAAAAAGGAGCAAATTGATTGAGATGTTATACTTTTATAAACGTAAGAGGATATTGTAGCTCACCAGCACCTACATCAATCTTCGGCTAAGAATCAAAATAAAGAGTAAGATAGAGTAGAGTAATATAACGATAAAATGCCTCGTTTCCAGTTAAAAGTTTTTTGGTTCTCGTCTCTCACCTCACAAAACACAACAACATTATGCTGCTATTTCACGCTGATGTGGACGAAGTCCTTCGAGCAGTGTTATGCTGCTTTTTTACACTGCTGTTCTGTGCGAGTGGTTTGTTCCTGGTCAAGTCGAGCTGCAACTTAGCTTGACTTATATGGTGATACCATAATCTATGGAAAATCATGTCATTAGTCTGATATTTCCAATAGTCATGGTAGAAGACTATGGGAAACACCAAAGTAGAAAAGGGTGGTGGCTTCTCTGACGCCGAAACCATACGACGAAGTGTGAAAAGGATTCTATTTATCTTCTTAGGCATTAAAAACAATTCTAGGAATTAGTCTTAGTCGTTATAATAAAAGGTTCGACATAAAAAATAATTGACGAAAAAACCAGAAATTATTATTAAATATATTCAGAGACTGAAGTCAGTCAGTACAATACGAGTATATTAATTGTTTTAAGATTTATTTCTATTTAAATCCAACGGTAACCTATCCGTTGCGTTACATAACGTGCGACTCGGTCTCGCGACCTACTTCACCACGCATGCAGTCCGTGGGTTGCTAAGAGCGTATGATGGTGTCAGCTAAATTAAGTCACCTTCAAGTGTCAGGAGTAAACTTGTATATGTAAACTAAATACGATAATTAGAAGTGTTTTATTTAGTGTTTAATGGCCGTCGCGAGCCGTACATATCAATTATTTTGCAAGTAGTTGAGGTATGGTAAACGGATACTCCAATGTATTTTGGTTATTTCCAGTATCTGTCTTTCCATATTCAAGGCAAGAATAAATAGGCTTTTGATAGGCAAACATTACGCTTTACCATCTTTGGCTGCATCATCAAGTGAGATAGTAGTTTTAACGGAGACTAGCCATCTACGGAAGATAGAACTACAGTGCACTAGAGTATGCGCAAACACAGATGTCCTCTCCACTCTTCATAGTCTAATGGGACGAAAATTTGGATCGACTGAAAAAAGATCAAGCGCAACTTGCACAATAAGAAAGAAAGAAAACTGTGTATTAGATACCACAATATCATAGCAATACGACAAAAAACTAAATAAAGTTAAAAAAATAAATATATTAGGTACATAAAATTGGGCACATATTACTTTAATGATACCAGAGGTTTTTTTTTAATAGAATAAGGGTAGCAAACGAACACACAGTCCACCTGATGGTAGGTGGTTGCTGTGGCCCATAGACATCTACATCTATCTTACTTTGCGAATTAAAATGCAGATGCGTTGCCAGCTGTGAGGACTAAGATGGAATGCCTCATTTCCAGTAAAACGGTATCCGATTCTCTACACTCACCATACGAAACACAACAGAATCAAGCTGCTATTTTACGCTGGTATTCTGTGAGAGCGTGGTCCTTCCCCGGTCGAGCCGATCCATTCGTGCTACAACTATAATATTAATATAGCTGCAGCATGGCTCTACCACGTAGAAAATTAATAGCTAACTGCAATCTGATACAATTATACAGGGCTATTTTGCTTTGTTTTGATATTTCCTAAAAAGCATTTCATTGTCAAAAACCCAGTTCTTCAAGCCTAATCTCTAAAGAAAAAATTGTCTTACCTTTATAGATAGTGAAATCATACAATAAACAAACTAAGATAACATATACTTGACGTTTCAATTGTTATGTTATGTTTTTATAGTAATAACTTAAAATGTATTCTTTATTGGAATGAGGCTAAGTAAACACCAGTTAATAATGTAGAAGCGAATAAATTGGTTATATC